GCTCTCGGTCTAAGGTTCTATCTGTTACTAATTTATAGGAGTTTTTGGAAGAAGAGATAATTTTAAAGGGCACTTCACCGTCGAGTCGACAATTAACCTCTCCGTTCTCCCCAGAATCTCCGTCGTGGATTTTGATCAAAGCAATTAGTGTTCCTGGCGCTGCATTTTCTAGAATCGTTTCGAGTAGGGAATCTATTGTAACTTCTGGGCTGTTGTCATTTTCATCTTGAATGTTGATTTCAACTGTACACTGTGCAACCAGGCCTCCACCGTCCCGCGCTTCCACTACTATAGAATATTCTTTGATTTCTTCAAAGTCCAGTGTTCTCCGTGTCGTAATTTCTCCAGTCTTTGAGTCTAGACCGAACACTTGCCCAGCTCTGTAGAAGGAATAACTAATCTCCGAATTCATGCCCTCATCCTTGTCGGTAGCTGTCACCTGTAGCACAGTTGTGCCTGGGGGCACGTTTTCCGGAAGGCGGACTTTGTACACTTCCTGGTTGAACACCGGAGGATTGTCGTTGGCATCAGTGACCTGGATGCGAAGCTCAGTGGTGCCACTTAGGGGAGGATTCCCGCCGTCTAAGGCAGTCAGGACTAATCGGTAGAAATTCTGCTGCTCGCGGTCTAAGGTGTTCTCCAATACCAATTCCGGGTATTTACGACCATCTTGTTTTTCTTTATTCACTAGTGAGAAACTAGGGCTAAGAGAGAGTTTGTAATTCTGTAGCGAGTTTAAGGCAATGTCTGCATCTTCTGCTACCTCTAATATAAATCGGGTGCCTGGTTGTGCAGATTCACTTATTTGCAGCTCTGAGGATGTGTGCGGGAATTTTGGCATGTGGTCATTAATGTCCTCAAGCTCCACGCTCACGTGATAAAAGTTCAACGGATTTTCAGCAACAGTCTCAAATTCCAGAACACACACAGGCTTCTTCCCGCAAATCTGCTCCCTGTCCAGCCTGCTGCTCACTAACAAATCCCCGCTGGTTGCACTCACACTGAAGTAAGGCTTCTTGGAACTGATACGCAGCTTTCGCGTCGGTAGCTCCTGGACAGTAAAGCCCAGGTCCTTGGCGAGGTTCCCCACTACGGAGCCGGTGGGCATTTCCTCGGGGATCTTGTAGCGGATCTGCTCGCAGAGCGCGGGGCAGAACAAAGGCAGCAGGAAGAGAAGGAGCATTGGCCGCCTCTGCACCGGGTGCCTCTCGGGAGCGCCCTCCCGCATCCTTCTCGTTTCCCTTTGCTTGCTCACCAGTCTGGAGACTCCGGGTTATAAGGAAGCTCCGTGCTGCGGATACTCCGGGTTCCAAATGGACTTTGATGCCAGTTCTAGTCTATGAAACGATCCTTCTTTTGCTTGGAAGAAGCGGTATTTAAAGGATAAGCAGAGAAAGGGCTCCTTGGAAAGCAGTGCTCTGCGGCTGCGCGGGAAGTGGAGCTCCAGGCTCTCCAGTCTGGCCAACAGCGGCGCCCAGAGTCAATAGTAGGAAACTGCAGCCTCTGCTATTTGGAGGATTTTTTTGTTTTTTGTTTTCTTTTTTTCCTTTCCTTTTCTTTTCTCGACTAAGAATACAACAATTGTGCCCAACTAAATAAGTCATATTTTAATATTAACCCATTGAACAACAATTTTAAACACCTCTTTCACATATCTTTTTATTCTCTCAAGATTGTTGGAAACACCACATTGTTTTATGCAAACCTTTTGAGTGAGAATTTAATAACTAATGTGACATTAGTCCTACCCCCGGAGTCTATTGGATTATTAATTTCACAAATTTATATTTTTGTTGGCTATGTTATGTTGAAACTACTTTTACTCTTGTTTATTTCTATAATTCTTCCATATTTCTAGGTAATCAACTCTGTTTTATAATGTTTGGAAACACCAGTACTGTTGCAAATTATTATATTTTTGTGCTTGGGCATATCTGTCCCATTCCTCAGATGTCCTTTCTTCCTGGTAATGCCCATATTATCTTTTTAAAAACAAAGAGAATCTTTATTGCTTCTTTAGGAGATGCTCATTTGAGAAGACTGTTTCAGTAATGTGGCCCAGATATAGTAGTTTGCTAAATCATCCTTTTTTAAATTTCCAACTTATGTAGTTTCTATCCCACTTTTTTGTTTTTGTTTTTGTTTTGTTTTTGTTTTAAGACAGGGTTTCTCAGTGTAACAGCTCTGGCTGTCCTGGAACTCACTTTGTAGACCAGGCTGGTCTTGAACTCACTGAGATCCTTCTGCCTCTGCCTCCTGGGTTCTGGGATTAAAGGTGTGCACCACCACACATGACTTCTATCCTACTTTTTATATTACATTAATTCATTCTAAAAAATTACCAGGTAAATTATCAGCTATTTGCAACACAAATATTTCTTTACCTATGCACTACACTATTACCATGCAATAACCTGGAAATTGGAGAAATCTGCCTTTTAATAAGCCCATTACATAAAGTTACTGAATATAATGACATTTGGTTTAACTTTATACTCCATTAATTAGTTTTTGAGGTGATGGAAATCAAACCAGTACCCTGCACATAGTAGGCAAGAGACAATTTTCTTTATCCCTAACAAAATGACAAAGTGCCAATGATATAGTTGTCTCTTGATTGTGCACCCAGATGTTACAGAAAGTAGGGAGTTAATTTCTACTCCACTGTATATGCAACATGGGGTGGGGCATGTCAACAGTCCTTGGGAAATACCCTTCTCAACCATCACAAAAGATTTATCTTGTCTTTCATTTTTGACTAGTGATAAACTGGGAGTTAGCTTTATTTAAATGTTACAAGAAAGAATACAGATAATGTTTATAGTTTAAATATTTTTTGGAATTGGTTAATTTATGTGGAATTTGTGTATCATCCTTGAGCGCTCACCATTTCAGATGGATGTACAGCCTAAAATGCTCATGGTAAGTCTACAGAAATAGATTGTTCAGTATTTTACAAAACTTTTTCTTTTTCTTTTCTTTTCTTTTTTTTTTTTTGGTTTTTCGAGACAGGGTTTCTCTGTGTAGCTTTGGAACCCATCTTGGCACTCGATCTGGAGACCAGGTTGGTCTCGAACTCACAGAAATCCACCTGCCTCTGTCTCCTGCATGCTGCGATTAAAGGCGTGCACCACCACCACCTGGGCGAATGTTTATTTAAGTTGAGATTTTGTTGCTTTTCTTTTGGAGGGAAGACTAATTACTAGTTGAGGATTTAGATTCCATATTCCCATTTGTATAGAGTCAGAGATGGTCTATATACACAGACACACACTCAACATTCACACACCGGCTTTTATCTCCTACCAAGTTCCATATTTTAAAATGTGCTTGCCATTTGAAATATAGTAAGCAGTATTGAATTGGTGAATCCTGATGGAGAAGCAGGCCTCAAAAGATGTTTGAACTGGAGAGATCTTGCAGTGCCTACTTGTAGACTAATATAATTGTGACATCTTTGATGGTTACTAAGGTAATTATTAATGATTTGGAAATCTCAATTACTTTTCTATAGTCCTAACTTACAATATAAATGTGCTCAAGTAGAAAACTTACTGTGTGTGGTAAGTACTTAGTTCTTAACTGAATGAGTGATAAAAACAATGAGATGTCTAAAGGTTGAACAATGTCTCATCTGAGCTTCTTGCATGGGCCTTTTTTACAGTGTGTTTTCAGACAGAGTCTCACAGAATCCAAGCTAGCCTTGAACTTAATATGGTACCAGAGGATGACCTTGAACTTCTGATCCTCCTGCTGTTACCCCAGCCGAATGTGCTAGGATTATAGGCATTTGCTACCCTGCCCAGTTTATCTGGTGCTGGGGCTCAAATTCAGGATCCGTACAAGAGGCAAGTACTCTCAACACTAACTTACATTCCCAGGCCTGTCAACCTCCTTGAAAACAAACTGAACACCCTATGACTTTTCAGTGTTCGGTTTTCCATTACCATCATTTAAATGCACATAAAAGGTTTGACATGTCTCAAAATCTCGCTGAGAATCAGACAACCGAACTTACCTGAGCACAAGCGTCTTCATCCTTACTCTCATGGAAATCTATGGATGTTAATAAAGAATCATTTCTCTCACTGCTTTCTTGGTTAATGAGCATGTCTGCGTAGTTGGGCTGAGGAAAGATAATGTGGCTTGTCTGGGAGCCTGAAGTGAGGGAGACTTCATGAGAATAAGTTTGCAGAAAGGCTTGTACCCCGTCAATGCCCACAAAATGTGAGGGAGGAGCAGGGGTCAAACCACCTCTGGAGCCCTGGAACTGGCGAGACTTGTGCCAGCGCTGAAGTCTGAGTGCTAGGAGGACAATGACAAAGACAAGGAAGACGCAGGAGACAACAGCCACTGCCACCACCAGGTAGAGCGTGAGATCAGAATCCTCTGGGGTCCCAGGGGTACTAATGCTGCTCAAGTCAGCCAACACTTCAGGGATGCTGTTAGCCACCGCCACAGTGAGAGTTACAGTGGCAGAGAGTGGAGGCTGGCCTTGGTCCTGGACCGCCATCACCAGGTTCTGCTTGAGTGCATCTCTGTCCAGCAGGGTCCTGGCTGTGCGCACCTCACCCGTATGAAGCCCTACAGAGAAGAGCCCGGGTTCGCTAGCCTTGAGCAGGCGATAGGACAGCCAGGCGTTCTGTCCTGAGTCTCTGTCCACCGCCACCACCTTGGTCACCAGGTATCCAGGCTCTGCAGTGCGGGGAGCCAGTTCCACACCAGTGGAGCCATCTGTGGGAAGGCCAGGGTATAGAATCTCGGGTGCATTGTCGTTCTGGTCCAACACAAACAAGCTCAGTGACACATTGCTGCTGAGTGGTGGGCTTCCACTGTCACTGGCAACAACCAATAACTGCAAGTCTTGGATCTTCTCAAAGTCAAAAGATTGCAGTGCATACAGGACACCAGTGTCTGAGTTGATGGAGATGTAAGAGGACAAAGGCACTCCCTGTATGGTGTCCTCAGACACAGAGTAAGTGACCTGTGCATTTTCCTGGCTGTCAGGGTCATGTGCAGTCAAGGAGAAGATGGAGGCTCCTCTCAGGTTGTTTTCTGGGATATAGGCTGTGTAGGAGGTATGAGGAAAACGAGGAGGGTTGTCATTAGTGTCTGCCACAATCAGGGCAATGCAAGTTTCGGTAGACAGAGGTGGGACTCCTAGATCTGAAGCTATCACTGTGATATTGTACATAGAGACCTTTTCTCGGTCCAAATATTTCCATGTCACCAATCTATAATAATTATCTATTGACTTTTCTAATTTAAAAGGTAAGTTCTCATGTATGGAGCAGACAACTTGACCGTTCTTTCCAGAGTCCCGATCATGCACATTTAAGAAGGCAATTACTGTACCAGGAAGAGAATTTTCCATCACTGGGTTAAACAAGGATGTAATGGTCACTTCTGGCCGATTGTCGTTTACATCTTCTACCATAATTATCACTTTGCTCCTCCCTAGAAGCGCCCCCACATCTTCAGCCTGTATTTCCATTTCATATAATGAACATTCTTCATAGTCTAGATTTTTCGCTACTGTCAATTCCCCGGTGTTCTCATGAAGATGGAATAACAGGGACTGTTTTTCATTAACTTTTCGGAATTTATATGTCACTTTCCCATTGGCACCCTTATCCGGGTCGCTAGCTCTCACCGTGAGCAGCAAAGTGCCAGGGGCCACGTTCTCGAGGACTTTCACGCGGTAAACCGGTTGGTCGAAAACAGGGGCATTGTCGTTTGTATCCAACACTGTGACCTGGATGAGCGCTGTGCTGGAGCGGCGCGGGTTGCCGCCATCGGAGGCAGTGAGGACCAGGTGGTGAGTGGGCTCTTCCTCTCGGTCCAGGGTGCGCTCCAGCACCAGCTCTGGGTTTATAGTTCCATCATCTCCGGTTTGCAGGTGTAGAGAGAAGTGTTGGTTGGGGCTGAGCTGGTAACTCTGGAGGGAGTTTATGCCCACATCTGGATCAACAGCTTCTGGGAGTGGATACCGTGCTCCAGGGGCAGCGATTTCGTTAATTTTCACTTCCAGATCTTCAACATGAAACTTCGGATTATTGTCGTTAATATCAGTTATTTCGATTTCTACTCCAAAGAGTTTTCCTTTGTCCTCAACTAGGATGTTAATATTTACAAGACAGGGCGCGCTCTGGGCGCACAGCTCCTCCCGGTCTATCCTGCCAGCGGTGACCAAGCTGCCGCTCCGCGGGTTCAGGGAGAAAAGCTGCGACCTACCTCTGGAGACGATGCGGACCCCGCGCTCCGCCAGCTCGCGCGACTCCAGTCCCAGGTCCTTGGAGACGTTACCCACGACCGTGCCTTTGTCTGTCTCCTCTGGCACCGAGTAGCGAATCTGTCCTTCCCCGATCTGGCACAGCGTCCCCATCATCGTACACAACAGGACCAGCCCTCCATGCCGGTGTATGTTCTTGGAAGCGGCCATTGTTGGTTTGCAAAAGAATCCCCTTTGTCTTCACCGGGCATAGGCGGCTGGTTTACCTTTGGTTGTGGTGATGGAAACGGTAATCTTACGGAAAGCTGGAGAGCCACAAACCCAGGGACGGAATTTCACCGCGGTCCCGCAGTTGGACTCTGGAATCCGCCAGTCTGATTTTGTCAGTGCTAAGAATTCGATGGCTTTTTGAGTGCATTTCTCCGTCATCAGGTGAACAGCGGCGCCTAGAGTCCTAAATTGTTACTGCACCTAGATGCAGTTACTTAAGCCTTACAAGTTAGGCGCTTTTCGTTACTTTAAGTTTATATTTGTCCTAAACATATATTTTAGAAGAAAGTGCAAATGTGTGATTATATTAATTATTGGATCTCTGTGTTAGCATTACATCAAATGACTGGTGTACATTCCCTCCTAAAAGTAAACAGAGCAGTTTTATTTCCCATTGTTTTCTAGCTTTGTGTGAATGTTTTCAATATATACGGCCTAATTAAGAACTCTACTTTTAGACGAAAATAGATCCATTAGAGATGATCATTTGGAGATTGTTTTATCTGGTTTAAACTAACCATTGTAGTAGTTTTCCACAGAGTTGATGGTTTTATAATTCTTTTCTATATGTTATTTTAATTACACACTGATCATTTTTCAGATTAACCTTGTGAAATTTTAACAGAACAAATACTTTATGATTCGACTTTTTTAAAATCAGAGATTATATTGACTTGTTGTTTTATTTAAATCACTGATTTCTTCCTAGTTGAAAAATACTTGAAAGGAACAGATAAAGATACAGTTAAAAGCAATACTCCATCCCCCTTTTGGGGAGATAGTTTTTTTTTTTTTGAGAAAGGATCTAACTATGTAGCTCTAAGTCTCCTGGTACTCCCTCTGTAGACTAGGCTGGCCTCGAACTCATAGAGCTCCATTTGTCTCTGCCTTCCTGTGCTGGGATTAAAAGTGTGCACCATGAAGCCTAGCAATAATTACAATTTAAATCAGACAACTATTTAAGGGTTGTCTTAAATACACACACACACACACACACACAGAGAGAGAGAGAGAGAGAGAGAGAGTTAGCTCCACTCCTATAACTTTCATCCAAAGAACAATAAAAAGTGAGAAACACAATTATCAAAAGAAGCCAACCAGTAAATGCCACTACAAAAGCACTTTCCATCAATAGTATGAAGTAGTCAGTATCTGAGCAGGTGCCCAGCAAGAGTGACTTGATGTACTATGACATTTTGTAATATATTATTATTTTTCATATGCACATCAGATTGGCAACTTTGTCTAAAAATTTGAAAGTTTCAAGACTATTTCTCTCCCAGAGGTAGTCTAATTTGTAGAAGATGTTTACATATTTTGGTTTAGGAAAACAATGAAAAGACAATTGAATTTTCTGCTAGAGTCCATCCAGATGGTTCAGTGGACAGAAGCACTTGCCTCCTAAACCTTGGACATGAGTTCTATCAATCCAATAAAAGGTGGAAGGAAAGGAAATCTACAGAGTTGTCCTCTGGCTTGCATATCTGCCTCCACATCATTTACACAAGACAATGTAATGGTTTTTAAAATTATATGTTGGAGTGTGTCAGGGAGAAACAGAGAAAAAGTATTGTTCGTCTCTCTTCTTCAATGGGGAAGCCTATTGAATGAGCTTCAATACAAAGAAACTCTCAAAAACTTACGCTTCAGTAACAGTCTGCTTTTGACCTTCTGGGTTTGGGGTTGTTTGTTTAGAAAGGGTCTCATTTAGCCCAGGCTAGCTTCACCAATGCTGGCATTATATACATGTATTATCAAAACTTTTGATCTTCTGGTGAATACTGAACCTCCTGTTAAGTAACTGACCACACAGAATATGTCACATAAAATTACAAGGGGCCATGAATATAAGCTTACGAGATCTTATTTTGGGAGCATTTGGTGGGAAAGAAATTAATCACAAGAAACAAAACAACAGATTATAGAAGCTATAACAGCTACATCAATAGAAAATATCTATCTTGGTGATTTCTTTTCTTTAAGGATTGTTTCAGTGACTTTTTGTGTATAGTATTTTGTTTGCATGTATGTCTGTGCACCGATCTCATGTCTGGTGCCCTTGGAGACCAGAAGAGGAGTTACAGACAGTTATGAGCCTGCCATGTGGGTTCTGGGATTTGAACCCAGGTCTTCTGAAAGAGCAGCCAGCGTTCTTAACTGCTGAGCCCCAATGAATTTTTGTTTGTTTTGGTTTTGGTTTTTCTACATAGAGTTTCTCTGTGTAGCCCTGACTGTCTTGGAACTCTCTGTGTAGACCAGGCTGGCCTCAAACTCAGAGATCCATCAGCCTTTGCCTCCCGAATGCTCGATTAAAGACATGAGCCACTACAGCCAGCCCAATGACCTCTTTTATATTTATACTATGTCCAAGCTACAAAAAGTATTCATCTTATATTGCATTGAGCAACAGGAAGAAAATTCATGGAAAAAATGTCATTAAATTCTAAGGAGAATCAGTACATTTTCACACTGTAGGTAAGACCACTTGCTGAACATCTGAGGTTGGTACTTCATTCTTACAAGGCACAGAAATGTTCATACTTTATTATTTAAAGATTATATAGTCACTTTTCAGAATTATTTATTAAATGTGTATAAGCTTTGTCTGCATGTGTGTCTGTGCACTGTGTGTGCCTGGTACCCTCAGAGGCCAGAAGAGGGCGTCAGATCCCTTGGGACTGGAGTAACAGACAACTGTCAGTGCTTGGAATTAAACCTGAGTCCTGTGGAAGAGCAGCCAGTGCTCTTAACTGCAGTCTCTCTCCAGTACCCGTGAGCACTTTTTAACCCACTAAAACTTTTCATGGTGGTCTTAGGGACTGAGTCAGCATATTAGTCAGGCTCTCTAACACTTAATCACACCATTAACTCTTCACTATAAGCGCCCTAAGAACTGGCTCTATCTGAAAAGCACGTGTTTCCTGAGTCAACGGAGAAATGAGCAGAAAGGAGTACATTATGCTCCTAGGAAACTCACCTGATGGGAGGTTGACTCACTGGAATTACAAAGTGGAAACAAGGCCCCCGCTGAATCTCCGAACAATATATCTTGTCCTGAATTCATCTGATCGTTACAAGATATTGAGTTAAATTCTGCCTTCCCTGTGGATGCAGCACACAGGTTGTAGGAATACGACAAAGTCCCATCATTGTAGTTGGGGGGAATCACAACTTCTGACTGAAAGCAGCCCCAAGCCTTGCTGCTGGAGGAGTGTCGCAGTCGAAGCATGATGGCTAGAATCACAGCCAGGAGGAAAAGCACAGAAATCAAGGCCAAGGCCACCACTAAGTAGAACTGCAGCTGAGCTTGAGAGTCAGTGGGCAGAGGGTCATCGCTGAGGTCTGGCAGGACCTCCTGCAGGCTGTCAGCGAAGATCAGGTGCAGCGTGGCTGTAGCCGAGAGCGGCGGCTGTCCACCATCACGCACACCAACCATCGCCAGTGCGCAGGCCCAGGCTGAAGAGCCCGGGATCGCTGGCCTGCAGCACGTGGTACGACAGCCAGGCATTGTGTCCCGAGTCCGCGTCCACAGCCACCACCTTAGTGACCAGGTATCCGGGCTCGGCGGCGCGCGGCACCATGTCGAAGAGAGCAGAGCCGTCGGGCTCGAGCGCGGGGTACAGCACGCGTGGGGCGTTGTCGTGTGCGTCGTCCACCAGCACGCGCATGCTCACGTTGGCGCTGAGCGGGGGCGAGCCCTGGTCGCGCGCCTGCAGTGTCAGCTGGAAGGAGCGCAGCTGCTCGTGGTCGAAGGCGCGCTGAGCGAACACCACTCCGCTCTGAGCGTTCACGGTCACATAGGACCACAGCGATTGAGGCTCCAGGTCGCTGGCTATGATTGAATAGGATACATGGCCATTGGGCCCCAAATCCGGATCTGAGGCGCTGACTTGAGCGATGGAGGCTCCAGGAGGATTGTTTTCTGCAACATGGACCTCGTATAAAACCTTTGTGAAAACTGGAGCGTTATCATTCACATCACCAATGCGTAAGGTGACACTAGAGCTGGAAGAGAGGGGTGGGTCACCCTTGTCAGTGGCTCTGATT